TTAACTCGAAGTCCAACTCGAACTCGCACTCCAACTCCAACTCGAATCCAAACTCGATGGGTCAAGATTCCCGGGAAAGACAGCACAAGTGACTAAAGACATTAGAAGATATAATTATAAAGAAGGCTCTCTTTCCCTTGTAGGGAAAAGGACATGATGACGATGGAAATAAGCCAGGGTCTTAATTGTTCAAGGAAAGTCAGGTTAGACCTATCCAGAGAATTCAAAGTGGTTAATCAATCTGGCTAAATGATGTTCCTCAATTTTCGGTTAAATGGTCGCTTTTCGGAAATTCAACAATTTCCGTATTTTCTGGAAAATTTCCCAGGAAATTTCCATACCGTTTTTCCCCGTTTCGAAATTCGCGGAAAGCGTCCCTAGTTTACCCAAATGAAGCGAACAATGAAAGGCAAGATGATCTGGTTATTAACGGACCTTTGTTCAGACATACTGTGCTTGTGTAGTAGTCCGGTGAACATGGCTTCTTTTAGAGTACAGTGTTTAAACTTTCCCAGCTCGCGTCGAAAATTGTGATTTTTCATTGATCCGTTTAAATTCTCGCAAATAATAAAACCCCGAAAAAAAATGACCTGAAAGTGAGTCAGTTATCATCCTTGTTATTCAACATGATTAAAGATAAGCGTCGAAGCAAAAGTAACGACGAGGAAGCAAAGCGCGAGTATCTCTCCGTCATTCTTGTTTATTCATCATCCGTGAGACTTACCCAGGTACGCATCGTGAACTTTAATTACAGTAATCAAAGCCCTGGACCATTATACGAAGTGAAAACCATATTGCTCTGAAACCTTTTTTAGATCTTGTGATTTTTACCGACTAAATTAAATGTAGATAAAGAACTTTCCCCGAGATAAAATCAGTCACTCGTGAAAAACTCAGTTTTCCTAGGCTAATTCAGGTAAAAAGGGACTCCTCTAATCAAGGTAAAGTGCCCTTGGTTCCTTAGCAAAAGGTGATGTATAAAATAAATTATCACCCTTATCATTGATGAAGAAGACTCATTTTTGTTCCACAACGGCTGAATTTACCTAAGAAGACGAATTTGTCTCAGACGCACAATGTGTCGAACATCAAGTGCGTCTAGGTAAATACCGGACGCATTAAACTTGTGTGTTGAAAAAACCTTCTTGTTCTTGTGAGAGAAACTGTTGGTAGTAATTATAAATTTTAGTTCAGCACTGAGATTTTCAATTCAGGAAAATTGGTCTGTTTTATGTGTCTAGTATTTAACTAGAAGAACTATACGACTGAGTCATGTCCGTGCAATGTGCCTTTATTGAGTTCGTCTGGCGTTTAACGCGACGTATTTTCCGTATTTATTACACGCATAATACGTCTAAGACGCATTATTCGGTAAATACGACCAGTGTGCCATTTTTTTTTGATTTAATTTAATTGCATGTATCACGCGTATTCCCTTGAAAATCGTATATCCTTCATAGCGGTGGTTTGCTCATCGAGAGCAAGAGCAGGTTCTTGCGCTCTAGGAAAGCAAGCGACTGCTTTGCTGACAAAAGCTCTCAGAGGGAAGTCCTTTATTTGACTTAAACAAGACGTGTCGTGGGATGGCATGTTCGTGTTTTAGTAAATTCTGGAATGCGTGTGTTCAACGATAGCTGTCACCTTTAACCCTCTCGTTCCATTTTCATCTCAGCGTACGTGTTTTGGTATTTTTCCAGTTTTGTTGTTCTTTGAGATAACAGCCCTAAAATAGAACATCTGGCAATGCTTTTACTCTACGCCAGCGGTGCATTTACTAAATTGACTGATCTGTTTACTTAATTCATAATCAAAGAATCTGTTTACATTTCAACGCTGGAATACATATCTGATGCATGCTCAGAAAAAAAAACCACAAATATTAGGGTTGAACTGAACCATCCATAGTGAATTAAGTCATTACCGAAATATCAAAGCGTATCACTGCTAGCTAGTTAGTTTTCTCTTAATAAAGTTCTTATCACTGCTGAAAACACTGCAATGCTTTTGTGTATTTCTCAGTTCTCTACTTTATCTTTGGAATTCAGTGTAAGACAGAAGACGTGGTAATACTGTTTGAAAACTATTGTGAGAAATCATTGACCTCTGAGGGAGAAGAAATTTTAACCTTAGTGAACAATTTAATCTCACCTGGTTTGTTTAATTGACATTGTATCCCAAAACATCTATTTTCAATTAGTTCTTATGACCCTCACTTAATGTACTCTCTGTTTGACGTTTTGGCTGTTCTCCATTATTCTCTCCGAATCTTCTTTATCCTGTCGCAGAGACAAGAACAAGAGATCATATCAACTAAGTTAGAAAGTTAAGAAATTGGTTTAACTGTTAAGTTGGCTAGCGGAAAAAGCAACTGCACGAAGATTTCTGATTCTCGATATCATTTTGCACACCCTTCATTTGAAATGTGTGCCCCATTCATGTCCACTACCCGCTTAAAATAATGGTAAAATGATGCAACCTCGTTATGTAGGAAAAAGGATAAAATCTAAACTACTCTTCTTTTACTGTAACTCTTGAATTACGGAGTAATCAAATCCCTCCGAAAGAAGCGGACAGGAGGTAACTCCGCATGCGTGTTGACAGCTAATATTAGCTGAAGACTAAGCCTGTTGGCGGTTATGTTATTAGAGGTCACTTTATGTCTTACCTTGATTAAAGGCTTCTTACCGGGTTATAACCTCTGTTTTAAAAATAGCGTCTTATCTACGCTGACTGACATTAAATTGCATTTCATGACATTAGAAGAAGCGCCTTAAAGGTTGAGCACATACCATCACGGAACCAGTTATGAAACGAGTTCATACCACACAGACGTTCATTTCTACTGTTATAAGGTGTTGATATTTTTATCTCTTGAAGCATGACGCAGTTTGTGTATTTTGTTGCTTTGTTGGTGGTTTGTGGAACAGGGCACTCACTGGAAACCACTGCCAGCCCTCAACAACAAAATGCTGGCGATACCAAGGACTTATGTGAGGTACAAAGTTGAATATCAATTGTCTTTTTTAACGAAAATCAATCTGTTAAACATGAGATGTAAAAATATTTACAGTATTTCTCATTTCCTCCCAAATCGAGGCTGAACTCTTAGATAAGTTACAGAAAGCGATATAAGAATGTTTGTTTCCTAAGTCATAGTAAATTCTGTCAAGGAATGTTAATGATCTCCATGTTGCTCCCAGTAAGAGTCGGCTTCACAATCGAGCAAACATCATTGTTATGTAAAAGTTGTAGGAACATATTTGACCTGATTAAGAAACAGATATCAAGAACGTGACTATTGTCTAAAAATTGACAGGATTTTATCTCGTCAAAGCAGACCCGCAAGGCCACAAATCCACCAACAGACACACTAACACTAGCAGTACTGTAAAAACAAGTAACTGATTCGCTAATACAGTAAGAGACAATAACGCAGATTGTTTTTCATGCCACAATATCTATCGACATAAGAAACATCTTGCTCTGGTGTAAAAGTTTCACACTATGTTTTTTAATACAGTGAATGTATTTGGTGCTTTCTTCTTAGAAATCGATATCTACCCATGGATTTCCGGGTATTCCAGGATCCAGTGGTATGCCGGGAATGCCCGGCATTCCGGGGTCACAAGGAGTGCAGGGAAGAGATGGAGTTAAAGGACAGACTGGCGACAAGGGATCGCAAGGAATGCTGGGACAAAAGGGAGAGAAAGGAAATGGAGGGCTTCGTGGAAAGAGCGGACCGCCAGGAATGATGGGAATAAAAGGAGCGCGTGGAACTGTGGGCGATCAAGGAATAAAAGGCGATAAGGGAGATAAAGGGGAAAGCGTGACAAGTCCTTCTAGTGCAGTGCCACAAACAAACTGGAAACAATGTGTGTGGAAAAATCTGAATGATGATCGAGATAGCGGTAAGATCAAGGTAAGAGAGANAGGGGAAAGCGTGACAAGTCCTTCTAGTGCAGTGCCACAAACAAACTGGAAACAATGTGTGTGGAAAAATCTGAATGATGATCGAGATAGCGGTAAGATCAAGGTAAGAGAGAAATGTTCGGATTGCTAATGGTTATGAGCAAAATTACTTTTATCACCTAATGTAAGTTAAAATTCAAATTCAGAATTCGACAACGATTTATATGAGAGAGAATCATGCTGTTATTAACCGAAGTGTTTTTTCAGCTGGTTTCATATCATGGTGACGAAACTGATATTACATCTTGAAGTGCTACTGAAACGAAATTTTCGTACACTCTTTTATTAGCCCAAACTATAGTTTTAACGGTGCTTAAAATAATATTGAACTTTATTTCTGTCAAATCCTTCCGGAATGTGCTTTTTTAGCTGCCGAAATCGACTTTTTGGAGTAAATATAAATATATCCTCGGCAACTTTACTACGTTAAAAGCGGTAAGCGCATCAGCCATCCGCACGAAGTTATTCACGGCCCACAAGCTTTGAGTTGAGTACTTCTTTGGACACAGAGAGCATCATTTTATGATACTAGTTAACAATCAGATTATGAGCTCGAGATTTCTATGAGGTGATAGTTGATGAGGCCGAATCAACTAGATAGAAATCGAGAGCGAATAATCTAATTGTTTTAGTAGAATTCTAACTGGAATTTAATTCGAATAACGGTTTCCAAGTACTTCTCGACGTATTATTAAACTTTGCGTCTTCGAAAGATCGTTCGGATTGAATTGTCATTTGAAATTGAAGTTGTGTGCGCGCGCTCATCACTTTTTTCAATAATTTCAAGATTTTTAAAGTCAAAAAACCGTTAATGTCTTTCTTTTAGTCTTCTCAGGAATTAATTTATCCATTTGCATCAAAATATTCCTTCAGAACTTTGTTAANCTTTACGTATGCTGTTTGATTCGGGCTAATAATTGTTGATAACACTATTTCCAAGGGTAAAGCTAATGCCTTTGTGACAATTTTGTAGTCGTTGCTCAATAGGGAGATTGGTCTCCAGTTTTTAGGGTATTTTTTTTATCGTTGTCTTTCTTTGGTATAAACGATATAATACCGCGTTTTTGTGAGATTGACATGTCACCATTTTCAAAAGCATAGTTAAAGCTATCAACCATGATTTGACCAATGGCATTCCAGAAGAACCGGTAAAATTCAATAATAAAGCCGTCGGAACCAGGTGTTTTATTATTCTTAAATTGTTTCAGCGAATTGGTACATTCCGGAAATGTTAGCAGCCCTTCGCAGGTGTCCGCCTCTTCCTGTTTGAGAGCATTCAGGCCGTCGAAAAAGTGCTCGAGATTGGCAGATACTGAACAGAAATTTTTAGCTTGATAAATTTCTTTGAAAAAACGTTCCTCCTCTTCTAAAATTTGTTTAGGCTCGCGGACTATGTTACCGTCTTCTTTTGTTAATGAGGTTATGTGTTTCTTCTTTTGGTTTATTTTTTCCAGGTTGTAGAAATATTTATTGTCCTTAAATTTTCACCGAACTCGTACTATTGTGCTTTATTACATGTCATCGTCCTTGTGTTTTTCTAGAGATAATCTTTGCTAGTTCTTTTTTTACTCGATTCATTTCAACTTTCGTTGCCTCGCTAAAGTTTGATCTCATCTTTTCCGGCTGTGATTGGTTGAGTCTCATAAGCAAATCTTTTTTCTTCGTTTCGTTTTTGTTTAGCTTTATTTTTAGCGAAAATTATTGTTGATGCTCTAATTTCCATTTTGATCATTTCCCAAAATAAGTCTTTGTCACTGAGGCTGCAATATTTGGAGATGAACTCTGGTATTTGTTTTGTTATCATCTCCGTATAACACTTATCCGTTAACAATGAATTATTAAATTTCCACAATCCGGGGCCATGCTCTGTTTCATTACTTTCTAAGGACATTGACAGGGTTATAGCAGAGTGATCGGAAAAAAATGTTGGGCACAATTTTAGCGTTTTGGATTGTGGACTCCATGCTTTTTGATATAAAAAGGTAGTCTATAATCTGCAATAGATTTTCATGGATGAATTGTTCCACGTGAATGCTTGTTCATTTGGATGTTTACAGCTCCAAGTGTCAATAAGATCGTGAGTTCCAATTAAAGTTTTCATTTCTTGAATAACTGACTTCTTTTGTTCGAAAGAACGCCCTCAGCGTTTGTCAATTTCATTCATCACACAATTTAAGTATCCCCCTAGGACCATTCTTTTCCCGGCATATTTGTTTAAATGGAATTTGATAATTCGTTAACCCTCTAAGGAATTGTACCTGTTGAGTTTGATCATTTGGTGCGTAAACATTCAGGAAAACAAATTTCTCGCCTTCTACGAATGCTTCAGCAAGGATATATCTAGCATTCCATTCTTGTCGCATATAATTTGTTCGATGTTTAGATCAAGTTTTGGCTTGAATAAAATCACTACTCCTCGACTCTGATTAGTGCCATGACTTCCAGTCATTTTACCACCCCATTCTACTTCCCACAGTTTTGATTTTTGCGCAGAATATGTTTCTTGTAAATATACTACATCCGGTTTTTGGTTGATGCAGCCTGGCCATCGAAATTTTGACGTAGCTTGATCGTCTTGTTTAACCCTCGAACATTCAGAGATAAAGCAATCAAAACCATAGGTACGTGTAAAGTAACAATAACAATAACAATAACAATAATAATAATAATAATAATAATAATAATAATAATATATCTTAATTGACCACTCCCCCAGTAGGGCTTTTCAGGACCAATGAAACCAAGTGATGAAACACATAATGCAAATGAACATAACATGGTTAAAAATCCCAACTGGGAGGAGGCAGACCAGTTGGCTATGTACAAGCATGACCGAGGAGTTTACCTTGGGTCTTCAGAGAAACAACTCCAGCCAAGTGGTCATAGCGGGACTTGAACCCGCGACCTCCGGATTTCAAGTCTGGCGCCCTAACTACCCGGCCACGCTGCCTCCTATAAAGTAAAATTAAACGCAGTTTCCAGTCAACAGATTTCATTGCGGGGAATAACGAGGGGTGCGACGTCTAAAAAAAAGAATGCAAATTATTGGAACCCCACGAGAGTCAGACAACATAGGCGTTTTCTGAGAGAAACAGGAGGAAAATAAATGCCTTCGTTTTAAAAATTGTTTTAGGAACACTTGCTTACGCGCTTGAAAAAGCGTCAAATCTTCCACCATTCCGTTTTGTTTCTCTGAGTTTGTCTGAGTTGTGACGCCACTCGCGCGCTTCCCCATTGAAGCGATAAGCATGTAAATTAAGAGCTAGCAAGAGACAAATTAGGGCAATCGAAAAACAAACTAATGCAAACTAATACAACATGCAATACGAAACACATACCTGGAGCAATTGGGGCAAATTCTCCTGTCTGAGATTTACGTAAGCCTTTCTGCTGTTCTACAGAAGAGGCACTAAATAATTAACAAAATTAAATATTGTCCATGATTCGACCGTAGAGTTTAAATATTTTTGTTTCGGATCCAACTACTGATGATCGGTTTTCAGTTAATCTCAGTTAATGACACAAGTCAAGTCAAATTTCGTAACATTTATCGATATGAGGACTCACTATTTTTACTTTCGTTTGTTCCAGGACTGCTTGTTTAATAAGTTGCAGTCTGATACAGCGATCAAAGTCTCATTCCAGGGAAATACGAGAGTCTATGGTTCTTCTTCTAAGTGTAACCGGTGGTTCTTCAAGTTTAATGGTAACGAATGCAGTGGACCAATGACAATCGAAGCTGTTGTGTACAACGATTGGCCATCTGGGAATCTCAATCTGCTTCATCACCGATCATTTGAGGGATACTGTGAAAACATCCTTCAGGGCACGGTTAGAGTGGAATTATGGGTAGAACAGTGTCCTGGTTATACTGGTGACGCGTACACTGGATGGAAATCGGTGTCCCGGATAATGATTGAGGAAGTATCTAGGCCCCAGTCTTAATTAATCAGCTATTACGATCGAGATCATCGCAGCTTTATCTGATGCTTATTTAGTTCTAGAAATGAGAACTGTCATTTTTGTGTGCGTTTAATGAAACTGTTTTAGCCGTGCGACTGGGTAAAAGTAAGGCCATTAATGTGATCAGTCCGAACATAAACATGTTCCAAATTAGAAACCTAGAAAATTCACGAAGCTTAGTCTACTTTGTACGTCCACATTACTTAATTAACGACGTGAAACTAATTTTGTTACATACTCCTTACATGTAATCCCATTAGAATAAGTTCTAATTAAGTGAGCAAGTCAAATGCAGACTCCAACAAAATTGGTTTCTCTCGGTATGATGACTGCTGTACAGAGATCGAGATCATTGCTGCTTTAGTTACAATCCAGAACTGACATTATTGTGTGCTATTAATGAAACTTGTTTAGCTGCAGAAAGAGTTAAAAAGTAAGTAAATGTGATGAGTCTACCGTGAACATTTTCTGAAATAGATAATTCACGAAGCTTCATTTCTAGTTTGCACTTTAATTAATTAATAACGAGAAACTAATCTTTTTGCGTAGTGCTTGCATTTAAAGCCAAAATTTAATCCTAAATAAAGATACTCCTTTAGGAATAAGTTTGCCAGTTAAATCCATGTTCGCTCAAAACTGATTTTGCTCGGTATGATGGTTACTACTCTACAGGTTGCAGGTCTATTGCACCGATGTCTCACAGTTTTTTGTTCAAATATCAATGTACCATGTTACTTTATAAGTGTTGTATTATTATAGTCATTTATTGGCACGGGTAGGAAGGTGCTATAAAAATATAAATGTAGAGTGTTGCCAATGTCTTTTCGGTGAAACTTCGTAACGTCTTGTACTGAGTCTTTAGAAATAGCATTGAAGNAGGAAGGTGCTATAAAAATATAAATGTAGAGTGTTGCCAATGTCTTTTCGGTGAAACTTCGTAACGTCTTGTACTGAGTCTTTAGAAATAGCATTGAAGAGAAATATGCGCTTGAAACTGAAAACGTTTTGAGCTATATTTTAAGAATCATATGATCTTGCAGTCTTGTTTATGGCAATAAATAGCTTTAGATTAAAAAAAACGAGAACTCTTCTTCCTTTATGCATTTGACTTATAGCCTCTCCCTGTCGTACTTCTCGGTTCAGCTCACATGTTTGTGTCTGAAGTTTTTCCTCCTCTGGTCACGTAACGTGAGAATATACAGTGCATTTGCATCAATAAATACGAGTACAGTGCACCCCTGAAAAACGCAATCATATCAACGGGATTGGTTCAGTGTATATCACTAAACTGTGACTCACGCGTTTATTCCTATTGAAAATGTACTAAACAGAACTGTGCTATTTTATGGTAACTGAAAACAAGTTTTTCAGTTTCTATTTACATTTTACTATTCACCCAATCTGGTGTCGGAGTGGAAGTACTAAAAGGGTAAACGTATAAAGAAAACAAAGGGAAGTCCACGATATCGTCCTGGTGGCCTTGGTCGCATCAACGAGGTATTTGTTTCAACTCGGATTATTTCAGATACGAAATTGTCAAATCTTATTAATTAAGCTTTTGTCGGGGCCAATGTGTTGGTCGTATTTTAAAGAGGCAGGGTGATAGTAAACCAAATTTCACACTTCATATTTCTTTTGTCATTCTATATACTTTTCCTGCCGCCAACAAAAGGAAAAAACACACAATTTGAACTCTAGAGAAATAGCAAACAAAGAAACAAACAAACAAACAAACAAACAAACAAACAAAACAGATAACATTGCCACTGTTAGCAACGGCCGGGACATGTATAAAAGCGTTCCCTCTTTTCATTACCACCACCACCACCATCAACATCATCATCATCATCATCATCACTCATTACAGCCCTCTGTGGGACATAGGGCCCCTTCCCTCTTTTCAAAAAGTTCTTATTACTTCAAAATCACAGCAAAGCTATTCTGATTCATTCATAAGGCATAAAAATGTGTTGAGTATTCCTGGCTGCTTGGCTATATTCGGATGGCATATTCCACGACCTTTCAGGCCATTCTCTTGGAGTTTATCTTAGAATATCTAAGCGTTATTTCGTTGTAAAAACGATCACTTTCATTTCCACGCGGGCTCTCTGGTGTGTCGCCGATTGGCTTTTTTGTTTTCTTTTTCGCCAAGCTTTGGCTGCCCTTGCACAAATTCAGTCAGTTCAAGATGCTGGCCAACTTGCTGACCAGCCTGCTGCTCAAGAACCTGAGGTATTAATTTTCTTTATTTCTTTTCTTTTCTTGTTTTTGCGACCCGTTTTTATTTTGTCTTTGCCACGTGGGTGGAACCTTTTGTGGTTACTCTGGAACGTTAGTTTATTGTTTAACCTTTTTGGCTTGTTATTTATAGTTATTTTACTTACGGCCCTTCCAATTTATAGACCAAGGTCATGATCGTGTTCTAGGAACTTTATTGTTTAATTTTAAGCCTTGATATATAAATCAAGCATATTGAGTGTCCCCCTGCACCTTCTCTTAATCAGGTCAAATATATTCCTGTAATTGTTGCATAACAATGTTTGTTCGTTTGTAAAGCCGACTCTTAATGATAGAAACAGGGACATCACTAACATTAATTCAAATAATTAAGAATCAATGACTTAGGAAGCAACATTCTTATATCGCTTTGTTTATCTTCCTTTTTAGAGAGTTCGGTCTCGATACACGACACACGTCTTTTTAACTTCCATCTCCAACCCAACTGACATAAATTCTTTAAATCATGCAAATAAGAACCAAACTTATACAACTCAAATACAATTAATAACTGTTGCTAGAAGAAGAATTGATTTTCTACTTTGTACCTGACGTAAGTCCTTGGTATTGGTTTCCAGTGAGTCGCAAGAAACAACTGGGACTGGATCCAGTCAATGCCACCCTTGGTAGGAGGGCAATGAAAAAAGAGGTGCTCCGCTGATTCCATCGGATCATTGCAAAGGCACACAGTGGAAATGGCGTATCCGAAAGACGACAAACGCTCGGCCGTATACAAAACCCCATGAGCTCTCTTCCAGGAGAGATCGATAATGTTTCGGTCAAGGGGCATGTAAACAAGTTGAGACCACGCGGCAGGCCAATAGAGGCTACCAAAAGACGGGCGGAATTTCTCCACACAATGAGGCACAACAGCATTCATCTCTAGGAGATTTTAATCAAGGTAAGACATAAGGAGACCTCTAATAACATAACCACCAGCAGCCGTAGTCTTGAGCTAATATTAGCTCTCAACACGCATGCGGAGTTACTTCCTTGTCTCCTTCTTTCGGAGGGACTTTGAGCACTCCGTAATTCAAGAGTTACAGTAAAAGAAGAGTAGGCTAGATTTTACCCTTTTTCCAACATAACGGGGTTACATTTTACCATTATTTTAACGGGTAGTGGTACTTTATTTGAGCATGAATGGGGCACTTATTTCAAATTGAGGGTGTGTAAAATGATATTGAGAATCAGGAATTTTTATGCAGTGGCTTTTTCCGAATGGCGCTAGCCAACTTTGTTTAATCAACGCTTATTACTATTCAGCGGGACCGTTTATACCGATTTGTTAAATTTCTAACTTGGTTGATACGATCTCTTTTTTCCTTTTCGGCAACAAGATAAAGAACTGGGCATGACAAGATAAGGTTGGTCAACAAGACCAACTTTGCCAACCACCAAAAGGGAACCATGTATTTCGGACTCTCTCTTATATGTAGTTGGAAATAAAGCCTGCGTGGTCCTGGCAATTGCGCGCATTTGAAAGGAGGATACTATACGGAATGGGCGAGTCGTATAAACGACCCTGAAACAAAAAATGTTCCTTTAAAAGGCAAAAATTCCTGAATATTCACATTCAACGAAACGTAGCGAAAAATCTCATCCGCCTTGTAGAAGTCATGTAAGACGGTCCGCCATTTATGAGAATGCGCTTGATCGTTACCAGCAATGATGTTTTCGTGATCTCTAAAACGGACGTGGACAGGTGAGGCGTACGTGGAACCACAAGAGACCATATCCACTGAGGGGAGCAGCCCGACACAGTTGTGGGCTTCCCTCCCAATTACACCAAGACCAACTGGGCTCGTGAGAAGTAGCTGAGTTATTAGGCTAGTCGAATTTAGGGGTTAGAACCGATTTCTGAAAGAAAGAAAATTTTGCTGAAAGAAAGGAAGAAAGAAAAGCGAATGGGAAAATATGGAGAGAGAAATAAAAACCCCACAACCGAGTTAAGCCAGAAATCTGTTCGAAGACTGGAAAAAGGTTGTGTTTAGAAAACCCACTGGGCAAGACTCACAAATTAGGATGGAACCAAAATAAGGAAAGAGCAGACTGAAAACAAACGTAAAGCTTTATTTTCAAGATTACCATTATGACAATAGTAAACACAGGATAATGAAATGAATCACTTAGAATTATTACGGGCTTTCCTTACTCAACAATTCTGGCAATGTGGCCTCGAAGGCCACACGCGAAACATGTAATGGTCACCCTGGTAACCTAGGATTGCCTAAAAGGGGACGAATATTGAAGCTATGTTTAAAAGCCTTTTCAATCTCCTTGGCAATGGAGATCTCCTCTTTGACACCCAGAAGCTTAAGGAGGACCGGCTGAAATGATACATGCAACGAGAGGGGTCTGGTCTGCTTCAGGATAGAATTGTAACAGGAGGCCTGGGCATCATTTTTCTCTCTTGCTACGTCAACCAAGTGTTCCAAAGCCGCAATGACGGTATGGACATCAAAAATACCCGCGGGAGCACAGGCAGCCGAAGCTCTCTCTATGAACCACACAAGCAACACAATATGGCATCGAACTATAAGGGTTTATATGGGATTTTCTACAAGATATCCATGGAGGGAGTTAAAAGTGAAAATTCTCAATAAANGTAACGAATGCAGTGGACCAATGACAATCGAAGCTGTTGTGTACAACAGTTGGCCATCTGGGAGTCCCGAGCTGCTTCATCATCGATCATTTGAGGGATACTGTGAAAACATTACACAAGGCACGGTTAGTGTGGAATTGTGGGTAGGATCTTGTCCTAGTGGCGATACTTTGGGTAACGCTTACACTGGATGGGAATCAGTGTCCCGGATAATGATCGAGGAAGTGTCTAGGCCCCAGTCCTAATTAATCAGTTCTCATTATCGAGATTATCGCTAAGCTTATGGTTATCAATAGTTATTGTAGTCAGAACTGAAATTTTGTGTGTTTTTAGTGAAACTGTTCTAGGCGTGCGAACGGGTAAAAATTAGGTCATAAATGTGATCAGTGTAGCATAAACATTTTCTAAATTAGAAAATCAACAAAAATTCACGAAATGCATGTAATCTACTTTGCACATGCACTTTACTTATTAATGATGGGAAACTAATTTTATTACAAAGTACTTGCATGTAAGACCATTATAATAATTCTAAATTGAGCAAGTCAAATGCTTGTTCCAAAAGTTCGGTATGGTGACTACTCCAGAGATTGCAGTGAAATTGCACTGATGACTAAACAGTGTTTTTTCTCAATGTTCCATGTTACCGTATAATTTCTCAAAAACAAATTTCCATATGTTAAGTTAAGTTAAGTTAAGTAAAGTTAAGTTAAGTTAAGTTAAGTTAAGTTAAGTTAAGTTAAGTTAAGTTAAGTTAAGTTAAGTTAAGTTAAGTAGTCATGCGAAAAATATTGAAAGGATAATCAACACCACAACCATCATTTGGCGTGAAAATATGCTCGATATCTGTCCTTGGACATTATCTATTCCTCAATGATATCAGTTTTCCTCGAGCTACGCTCTCGGAAAACTGTTCCTTACTCGGAACAGAATGTTCACGGACAAATATCCGAGCATATTTCCGTACAAAATGGAGGCTACTGTTTATTTAGAGTGGTGTCCAATTAAGTGTCTTTAAACCAAAACCAAAGTAATCAAGCCAGTCAATTACGAAGGACACAGACAGTGAAGCAATCAAAACTCGAAGTTATTGCAGTATAGCTGTCGCAAAGCGCGGAAAAACCTGAGCGAGTAAGTCACGTTTGGTTTTGGTTTTACTACTGATTAGAT